CCGAAAGCTTAACAACTATACGTATTAATACCTGAAATAGGATAAGTCCAATTAGTACAGGTTGTGTATCAAACCCAAAACTCTGAAAGAGGTCTTTTGAGTTCCTTACAAGCGTGTACCCTCCAAATTGCAAAAATGTGAGGATCTGCATTTGGATAAGAACTCAGTCAGAATTGAAAGTATAAATATCAGCCACATTCCTAAGGAAAAGCTTTTATCCAATTTATTAAGCACAAGGCTTCACGGTTTTTTCAGAAACTTTAATTACTATTCCAACAGTGTTGCTCACAACCAACTACTCTTTCCAGCGCATTGAGCCTTGAGGGCTCAAATGGCCACCAGAAAGACTGGATATGATCAAATACTTCCATAAATAGCACAAGAATATAAGTTCATACTTTCAAAAGCTAGATAGACTTGATATGAATAAGCACAACACGATGCAGGTGCCGCAGCTAAGCAATATTAATGGAAAGTCCATTAGTACATTTAATTACATCTCATTTTTCTCATTCTATTTCTTTATAGTGCCACCAAATATCTCAAAATATGATTGCATTAACAATTCAACCATTGTATCCAGACTTTAGAATCATCAACCTCACAACAGCGCTGTTAATGATTCCTAATTACCACCAAGTTATGTTCAAAAGGAAAGTAAAATTAAAAATTTCAGAGAATGTTCCAGGAACATTAAAAGCATTTTAACTCATCCAGATAATAATTAGGCCTCTTCCACCATTATCAATGTACTTACAGGATGACATTTACTGATATGATAAACCAAGTTAAGATCAGCAGAAAAGGAAACAGTTGGAAAATGTCATTTTAAGTATAAGAGGTACCAATTTATCTAATATTGAACAGACGTTCAAAAAGACAGATCTAGCCACATAACTTTACACCAAAAGAGTAACTATTAAAGACCTATAAAGATTTCCAACAAGACAAGTAGACAACCATGTATATTCTCTCACACTCCATAAAATATATAGCTAGACCACAATCATTCAGATTATACATGAAAAATGCAATAATTTTTAGCACACAACGAGAACAGCAAAAACATTTGGTCACCATTCCATATACCCAAATCAGTATTTTAATTCCGTCTGCTAGAAAATGACTAACATACCTGAACTGCAATGAAGGAGTACACAGTATGATTAAGCTTCCAGTGACCCAGTTCATGTGCTATTACTGCAACAACTTCCTCATCTTTTTTGCACTGCAGGACATCAGTTGATAAGTGAAATGCACCAGAAGAATTGAAGATTTCAAATTTTTTCAAAAAGAAAAAAGAAAATCATGAGATTAAGCCTCTTTGACAACCATTATTTGAAAACTCTTTTTTCTACATACTAATTTTTAACTACACATTTACACAATAAAATATTCTGCACATAAACCCAAAACTTTTTCTTATTTTTTAACTATACATTCTCCTAAAAATCACTATTCAAGACATTGATTTTCCCAAATAATAGTTGTCAAACCAGGGCTAAAAAGGATATTCCTTAATCTATTTTTAAACTAGTATTATCTTCACGAATTTACTCCAGAAGCATAATAAAAGGAAATGAAGATCATAATTTCCAAGTACAGAGAGATAAATCTTCCATACCTGCTGAATCAATGTGTCGTAAAGGACAATGCGCTTGTTCTTGAAAAATCCATACATGTAAGCCTGTAGAAATGTGGCTAGCTAAGTCAGAAGCAATAGGCGCACGAGGGGAACCACAAAGGAAACACTTCAGAAAGGCAAAGTTAAGAGGAAACAGATACTAAAACATAATGCATTGACAGTGAAAAACAAGAAAAATTTCTCCGTTCTCTAGAATAGGCCAAGAAACACAGATATCATCACAATTGTAAAGGAGAATTCACTCAATTGTGACAGGGTCAATTCCAGTTTCATTAGATTCCATCTTCAACATGCATATATCTCAAAGGAGACTGAAAACCAACGAAATAATACTCGTGCTCCTTCTAAAGGGGTGATTGAGGTACTGCTCCTAGTGATCTTGATACATTTTATTAAACTACGATGACAGAAATTCTTCCAACAGTTTAGAACCCTATCATATGCTCAATAGCTGCGTACTAGATTTCAAATCTAATTTCAGGTCATCACATGGAAGTGGGAATTACTTGCCCTTGACTGGTAGAATCATACTCATTGTGTACTCAGTAATAGCATACTGCACCTCACCTCTTTATTTCAGGCCATCCTATCGCATGTTGAAAACTCTTTGTTGGATTGAATACAATTTTATTTTATTTTTTAACAACAACTGAAAACATGCACCATAATTTGGCCAAGTCCTAATGGCAACTAATAGCCCATAGTCAAAATTGATTGCAGACAACTCTTACTAATACCACACACTAGTAAGGACAAAGCTAAATTGAGCCTTCTATTTTTATGGCTCATAATGTTTAGAACACTCTACTTCAGGATCAATGACTCTAAAACAAGTCATCAGATTCCTTGACAACCATGCAAGACATGGAACAAAGGTGCTAGTGGTATTTTATGTTGTTTTGTAGAGGAGGGGGTTATTAATTCAATAAAGAACAATACTATGCCCCTGTTTGGTGGGGACTAAAATCAATTTTTTAGTAGATTTTGATAAAAGTTAATGAAGTGTGTGGTTAAAAAGTTTTGGGTCGACGAAAGCTCACTCTACCAAGCCACAATTCTAATGGATAGTCATTGTGACCCCGACCCGAGGCTTGATTCCAGCGTGATACACTTTGGATCGAAAACGTTTGCAATTCTTCCTGTTACTTTTACAGAACTTCACTTACCTTCCTCTCAATCCGAATTGAGCACACCAAGAACGTTCTCGATGGTGAGAACTTCCCCGCTAATTCTAAGTCGACGGTCCCATGAAATATGTAGTTCAAATTAATTGTTGGCTTTGACTTATATTAAAATCTGGTTTTAATTCCTTCAAAACACGGGTTATATGAACAAAGTGGAGATGATCCCCTCATGATATTGGATGAAATGATAAGACCAATTAAATTGTGGATATGAGACCCAAATTATTGGCCTTACCATTTAATGCCGCCTCACATGGGGTGGGGATCATCCCCAATTTGTATATATAGCATTACTCTTCCATAAAATGGGAGAACAACTCATTCTAGTTTAGAAAGACTATCAACTTTTCCTTAAAAAAAAATGTAGCATTTTTTTCTTTTACTTTATTCTTCATATATCTTGCATGGTTGAAGATATAGTGTTAGGTAAGGCCATGGATGTAGAAGTCAATTGTTCTACACCTAAAATATCATTTAGCTAAGCACAGATTCGCATAATCAAAAAGACCATATAAGCATTGCAGACAATCCAAGTATAAATAATAAGAAAAAATGATCTACTTTAAATGTCTGTAAAAATTCAAATAAAATGCACCCATTAAAATAAAGCTGGGAAACAACTATGATATACAATAAAAATCCTTACATTGCTATGGCTAGACCTTGTGGATCCATCAATAACGAACAGTTTCTTCAAGGGAAATTTGAGCGACGAAGAAAGATTCTCAATTTTGACCCTAAGCTCTCCATCTGGGAGCTATTTGTTGGCCAAAAAAAAAAACAAATGAATAAATAGATGAGCAATCCAAAAAGGTATCACGATTGATGAAGTCAGCCACAAGTAATACACAACTTTTCCACTTATTGGCTAGTTAAGATAGAATGTCAATTTTTTCCTAGTTAAAAATAATTAGACAACCCAACCTACCGGCGTGAATTTGTTGAAAAGCGGAGCAATCAAAACCGGGTAAACTGTCATCATGACAAGAGACAGAACAAGCATAAAAGCCCACAGATATATGGCCAAGTAGGGGCCTCCTTTCTGCAAACCAAAAACCATTTTCACTCAAGATGATTAATCTCTTTCTTTCTGTCAATAATTGCTCAAGTGATTATTCCTAGTCTATAAACGTTGAGAACATTAATGAGAAAGAAATCAAAATATAAATTGAAATTAAAAATGTAGCAAAAATATCAAGTTGATCCATAATATTACCATTAGCAGATTTATTAGAAAAAAAATGTACCTGCACTATTACAATTATGGCAGCTACAATAGGTGGACCAATCACTATAGCTAAGACAATCCCTTTTATCATGTCTCTAAAGAATAACCATATTGTTTGCTGTATAAAAAAAAAAAAAAAAAAAAAAAAAATTTAATAACAAAAAAAAAATTTAATCAATAGAAAAGTCAAAGTAAATACCTTGTTGAAACCATGGCGAGCCTCGATTACAAAAGTTGAGTACAAAGAAAATGGCAAATCAGTTATCTGTGTAAAGATTTAAAACAACTGTCAACAACAGATGTTAATATACATCTACTTAAATCCATTGAACAGTGCCAAATACTCGTGTTCCTAGTATCCTAGATATCATGATGTTACACATGTACATCCAGCAAGAAATTGCAAGTAATCTTAAGCTAGTGGCCATGATAGACAAATTGGAGTACAAAGAGCATAGAGTTACAGTGCAAGTGATCTACTGGTCAAAGTTGATTGAATTCATCTACTCTTTTAACTAATCATAAGTTATGGTTCATTTTGTAAACCTGCTTTCTCTAGCAAGTCATAGAACTGTAAATCAATCCATTCAACCGCTCACTCATGGGAAGGGAAAAAAATGTTTGGATCTTTCTCCCCAACCCCACCCTGCACGTGGAGGTATCTTTCTGTTTTTCAGAATTATATAGAATTTTTTGTCACTCACAGTCATGAATCGTTTATTAGAATCTCCACTCAGCATAGGTCAAGCAAAATAAACCTAACATCTGTATTAAAGAAAATATTAGATCAAACAAATTTGACTGGGAAATAGAGATCATAATTTACCTTCGAATGATGAAGCACAATATGTGATTCAAAAATTATATTGCATGTCTATAGGACAACCAAAATACTAGTAATCTTATTTTTTTAATCTGATGAATGCTCATTAAAGCATCCAGTTTCTGAAATACCTTGGAGCCCTTTATATCTGAAGTACTAAACAACGACCAAAAAATTAAAGTATGGAACACGATAATCCAATTTTGCAAAATTTGGAAAACATAGCATCAAGATTTATAAGGCAAAATCTCTTTCAAAAATTACAAGATGACTTAATGCTATTTTGAAGTTGATTCATCCTCAAGGCAAAGCAAATTTACAAAACACAAAGATAGACCATCTGATCCAGTAACTGCAATCAACCCCTGTAAGTGAGAAAATTTTATCTCTTTCTAAGCAAATAAGAAGGAATGTATATGCACCTGTGACCAAAACATAACTCCTGCTAAAAATGCAAAAGTGTGGAATATCTCATTTTCTGCACTGAGACCAAAATGTGCCAAAAAGTCTCCTGACCTCTGCAGTCACAAAAGAAAAGGAGAAGTCAACAGATAGTTTTTAAACAGAGGAGCTCCAAGAAACACAGAAACAGTTACCTTCCAAAACCAGGGCAATATCCCGAAGTAAAGAATTGCAGAGTCCATAAGTATGGTTACAAGCTCATGAACAAAATGAAAATGGCTGAAGTTCATAAATAAAAAACAACAACAAAAAGACTTGTTGTTAGTTGGAAAATACATGCAGGAAAAAAGAAGACCATACTTGAATAACATTTTGAACAAAAAGTAATAATGATCAACCTTTTATCAAGACTATAGGCACGAGCTTTTTCAAACTTCTCTTGGCTAATTACTCCCATCAAAGGTTTTGGAAGAGTTGGTAACTTGAGAGCAGCATGTTGCCGCAAATCAAGGTAGGTCTCAAAAATATACACAAATATCATAAAGCCTGAAATGTTCCAAAGCCAAATTAGTGGCGGAAAAAGAAGTGAAAGCAGATATAGAACAGCAAATCAGCTCAATTATTATATCTAGGTGTATTCTCCAAGCGAGAAAAAATGTGAGAAGCGAGCAGTCAGACATCAGATGTGACGTGGTAAACAAGGAAATTTGTCGAGTCTGGAAATAAATGCAGAAAAAGTGATGAACTTTACAGAATAAAAAGTGCCAATTTGCATGCCACGTACTGTATACCACCCAGGAAATTTTTCCAATTCTGACAAAGGCCAAAGTTAGATACTTTTTGTAAAAGTCAACCTGTACACCCCTCCGAAGGCCCAAAAAAAGTGGGAAGGAGCTAAAAAGGAAGGAAAAACTCAAATAAACGAATGCAGAAAGTTGGATTTTTTTTGCATGTCTTTTTTCCTGACAGGTCACTGATACAATCAAAATGTTCAATTAGCAAATTTGGAGATCCATAATCTAACTTAAAGCCTGGAGACACAAAATCATAGGAACACATATTGAAGGGCTTGGTTTAATTGTTAGGAACAGAACTATTAGGGTCAACCAAGACTTACATTATTGATGATCAAGTCCTGTTCATTTTCATATATCACAAACATCTTGCTGGGACGGATTCAAGAACACTGCCCCGACTACAGATTTTGGATCAGAGATACTCTAGTCTCATTACAGTTGAGAATAAGAGAATGATAAGAGCTATCACTCGGTTGATAATCAATGTACTCAGAACCCTAGAACCCACTTCCACACATATACGACATACCCATTAAACGATAATAACAAATAAATTCCGTAATAAGCAAATATTCAGGACAAGAACTAATCATTAAATCACGAATACCATTAATAGAAGAACACGAATTCCAGAAGCCATCAACGAGTTAAGTTTCAAAAATAAAATTAAAAAAAAGTAAAAAATGAAAAAGGGGTAATTATTTTTATACGCGTAATATGTATACATGTAATGGATAAAGAAAAACATACCGACAACGGCTTCCATGTAAGGAAACGCCATGGTGGATTCAACTTTTTTGCAGAGCAAGGAGGAGAGTGTGTGGATGGGGTTTTCGATATATTTGAATTTATTATAGACGACGTCGCGCGTGCTAGCAATGCGAAAATGTCCTAAAATGCAACACAATAAAAGGTCCATAAATTTTGTCAAAAAGAAAAGGTCTAATAGGCTGATTAATTGCTTTGGGGCCAAGAAAAGGGAAAATTCGTGACATTAGGATCTAAAAAGCATTTGATTTCTAGCGAATCGAAATTCGTAACCTTTCAAACGTTAGGTGTGAGATCTTTCTTGGGTGAAAACATTAGCTTGTACGAGACCTTTTCACAACATTATAAAGTCGAAAAGTTTAGAATCCGAATATTACGGGTGAATTTAATTTAAAATAAATTAACAAACTTTATGCCAAAATATTGTATCTAATATCTTTTCATTGCAATATAGCAAACATTTGGTGTTAGGAACGTCTATTTTTCATGTATTTTATTTAAATAAACTTAATAAAACTACTTTTTCCCCCAAAAAAAAAAAAATTTGTTTATTCGTGCACTTTCAAATTAACGTGTTATTCTATTTGGATAAGTTCCACAATTACTAAACGTTTGGCGAAATCTTAGTGTCTATTTGACGCACATTATTTTATTTATGACTTTGTCATAGCATCATTTTCAATCATATATTCATATAATAAAATATTTTACATGTATATCAAAAAGTTTACCCTACTTTTTAATCATGCATTCTCCTAAATATCTCGATTTAAAACCCTTTTTTCTACAATAATAATTGTCAAACAAGCTCTAATTGGGTTTTTAAACTTTAGTGTGGTATGCATTAATTTGGGAGACAGGAAGACAGGTGACAAAGTGATAGAAATTGAAATTAAATTTTAGTGAAACAATTGAAACTAAATTGAAGTTTAATAACTCAATTGAAACAATTTAAATTTTATTGACTTAATCGACATTTCTTTGAAAATTCAGTTACATCAAATGAAAGTTACTTTTCTATTTGTAAACATTTAATTTAATTTTAATTTACGTTTTAAATAGTTCTGTAATGATCATGATATCATGTACAACTTAATTTGGCCCGTTGGTCCTAATAGGGATAAAAATACATTATTTAATTGAATGTATCAATTTATCGAGATTTTATTACGAGTAACTTGATTGAGACGAGATCAACATAGAATGGCTCCACTCGAGTGAAGAACCAACATAGAAATGCTGCAGCATTTTATGAGCCTAAATGCCCATAAGAAATGACAAGCACGAGGATCGCATTATAGGGCACGCTAGCGATCCTAAGTGCTCCATTCAAAAAAAATAAAAATAAAAATCGTTGCTTTCGAATGGACTGTATACGGGTTGCAAGCATGCTAGCTAGTTAGAACCAACCAAGTTTGGGACATCAATGATGACATGAGTACATTGGCACCAAGTTCCACATAGAATAGCGTTCGACCGTTCAAGCGAGTAAATTTTGGAAGTGAAATTTTTTAACTAATAGAACTTCTATGATTCATGTTATGACGTAATAAGTTGGTAGATGATAAAATATCTACAAGACAAAATGTAAGGTTGACTAAAGAGTCAAAATGAATGGGTGAAGAGTTAATGGATGATAATGACAATCTGTGCCACTAATTAAAGGTATGATAAAGATAAACATATAGGATTATACATGAAGCAGGGATATTATAGATAATACCCATTTGATAAATCGAGAGAATAATGTATGATTTGATAGTTGAGGACCCAAGGTCTGTAACATGTAGATTAAAGGAGTTCTCATCTAAAAATGTGAAAAGATCTCGGGAGGACAAGCATAAAAATAAATGAGTAAATAAACCGACAAAGTTTATCATGGTGGTTAATGATATCATTGTTCTAATGGATGATAATGACAATCTATGCCACTAATCATAGGTAGAATAAAGATAAACGTACAGAGGGAGCCCTGTACGTGAAGCATGACTCTTATAGGTAACACCCATTTAACAAATCGAGAGAATAATGTATGATTTCATAGTCGAGGTATACAACATGTAGATCAAAGAAGTTCTCATCTAAAAATATAACAAGATCTCAGAACAAGTTTAAAAATAAATGAGTAAATAAACCGACAAAGTTTATTGTGGTGGTTAATGATATCATTGTTCGAAATCTTCAAAGAAGTCCCTGTTTGGCCTCCATTTCATGAAAATGAAAATAGGTGGAATAGTATAGTGATTGAAAAAGAAAGAAATATTTTCGATTTATATGTAATATTATTTTATGAAAGATTGTGTTATTAAAATTAGAATAGAAAAAAGTGAAATGTAATATAATGAACATTGATGAAAGCCAAACAGGAATAACAAACCTAGCAAGATGAAAAATAACTCGTGCACTCAAATTCACCCCCCTCGCCCCACCCCTGGCCACCCCCAACCGCGCATCACTTTTAGGGGAATCTGTAGCTACAGATTCCAATTATCGTTTCTCGAATCACTTGAGCCCCTAATCAAACTTTCTTAATTTTGATCCTCTAGAACAGAATCGTCAAAAAGTCACGTGCTATACACACGATCACTTTGAACAGAAATATTTCCGTCAGTTCATTAAATTTCCCTAAAAACAATTTAAAAACGAAAAAATAATAAAATTTGTTTTTTTTTTTTTTTAACCCAAATCAGGCACGGGTACGCACTCACAAGACACGAACACAATCAAATTGGTTTGATATCAACACGATGGCACGCAAGGAATTGCATCCATTAAATACACTATTGAACCAAGTGCAGCACGAATCCTTTTGTGTATTACTCAAACAAATTATTGTTATCATCCTACAAATTCTTTGCCCCAACCCCACCCAGGAAAAAAAATCCTCGATGATATTTGGAAGTAGAAAATAGTACACTTGAAAAGTTAAACTAGGTACCAACTACAGTATGATTTGTATATATACAAAATGCTCACATTGATTTGGATGGGACCGTAACATAGAGCAAAAGGGAGGTCACTCGGTGGGATATATACGCATTCTCATCACTGAACTATAAATGCTGGCCTGCTTCGAGCTAAGTGTCTGAACCATGGATTTCATGTATAATGATAGCTCATTTCTCATCTGAATTAGCGATCAAGGTAAGTCTTTCCTCCAAGGATTCAAGCAAATCATGATATTCGGTGAATGCAGAATGCGACTGGACATTGTACACAACCAAAACGTCATAAGATGCATAATACAGGTATCTATCTGAGACGTTTATATAATATTTGTACCTGTAGAGTTATGCTATATGCTTTCCATAACCGCAAATCATGTCTAAACAAATCAAAAAGGACCTGAGAGTATACGAGAAAAAGTTACGAGTCAACTGTCTGAAACTGATTCAATTTCTTTTGGGATGTCCTTCAGTTGGGACATTGGAGTGACAAGGTCACGAAGGGCCAAACTTACACTAATGAACATGAAGTCAGATGAAATTCAGTACTAATATCACACATGCACTTAGCCTACAAAGAATTTATAAACAGTTTTAATTTATAAATAGATAAAAATGAGCGGTCGATAAGTGGATATTACTTATAGATACATTGGAATGTGTGGTTGAAAATGAAATTTGACCATTTAAAAAACAGCCAAACAGAGAATAGCAGTGTGGGTATTTCAAGCTGGAAAACTGAATACTATTGGTGACAATATCAATGACTAAGTAATTAAATAGAATTTATTTGTTGCCTGCCACAAAATAAATCACTAGGAACTGGTGTTGCATTACTATTAGCCACATGAACTTCAAAAGTAGGGTTATTAGAATATCTACCATTTGTTGCCCATCAACAAATTGCAAGGTAAGGGCCAAAACAGATTCAATAATGTTCCCACAAAATGGCATAATATCATGGAACACAGAACAGATTGGGCCAATGTACCTCAGAGCGTCTCAAAAGTGTGGCCAAAACCACTATCCACTCTTTAAACTTGACAGAGCACATCTGCGCCAAGAGGAATTCTGCATCCAACCGGCTTTGCAATGTTCCCATTTGAAGCTACAAAAAACACGAAAAAATTTAATCAATGAAGAAATGTAAAATGAGTACAATCAACCTTTTCTCAAACAAAACCATCTGAATAGTTACCGGCCATCAATATTGAAATTAAAGTAAGCTGAAGCTGATCTACCCAGTTTATTTCTTTGAGTTAAGCACCATAATTGTTTTGTTTATTGTCATAATTATACAACTATTTCTGCTTTTTGTGTTACTTTCGTTTTGGTAATTTTAGGTTGTTGGATCTTGTTTTAATATCAAACTTTATTTTCTCCTTGATTCTGTATTATGAATTTACAAAAGACATAGAGCATTTATCTAACTCATTCTTACCGTTACACTTTTTTGGATCCCGTGTTTGATGTTTACTTCTAAACTGAAATTTCACCGTTTGTATTTTCCTTTGGAAAATGGCTAGATGAGTTAATAATAGAGCTGAGCCACGTTCAAGCCTGGATTTTTCTAATTTACCCAGGTTCAAGCATCGGAATTGCGTGTGAAGGATCTCAAGTGGAAGTTTGAGCTCAAAATTGAGCTCAAGGTGCTAGCTGTGTCAACTTTCGTTTGGTTTATATTCATCTACAAACACCAGTCTAAGCACCAATTTGAAGAAATCACAAACAAGAAGACTACTCAAGCTATAGATGCTCAAGAAGTGGACCACAAAAATTACTAGTGACTTCCTGCTGTTAATCAAACTCATCAAAAAGATCAACAGAGCAAGATTTTGTTGATGCATGATAAACTAACAAGAAAGTGTGGGGTTCCATGCATGCTTCCATTACCCACAACCGTGAATTGACCTAGAACAATTATATCCAGATAAATTACCTTCTGCCCTATCAGTTCAAGCCCTGAAGCAAAATTCTCCAAGCGAGCACTTCCATATCTTTCTCTCTGAAGATATTCCTGAAATAATCATTATGCTTTCTCAAATTCCTAACAGTGGCAGAGTAAATACAATGTGACTAAAAAAGTTTGGCTCTCTTACGACAAGATCAAATTGTGTGCCTTTGACAAATGCAACAAGCTTTGAAAGCTCTTTCCCGGACATCAAAAAGCTGGCATGGCTTTCCAAAATTTTTTTTACAGAA